CGTGGTTAACGTCAATGGTGAACCAGCGATCGAAAGTAACACCAGTATTGGTAACGCCGCTATTGTTGCAATTTGTTCCGTGCCGGCTCCAAGGTATGTTTCGTAGACAGTCGTAGCATGTCTAAAATAAAGAAAATTCAATTTTGTAAGAGATTCTGATCTTAGACGAACACGTTGAGAACCAAGGATACCAGGACCTCTTGGAACAGTATTTCTCAAGCTCCCACATTCGGGTATAGCAATGCCAGACCCTTCGATATCTCCAATTAGCACCTAACACCTGTGCATAAATGTGTCGCCTCTTTAGAAGCTTCCCGAGTTTCACTTTAAAGATGTCGTTGAAGCAGACACATCGAGTATTTCTGGAAATTTGACGGCTCCTATGGGTTGTGGCTTGTCACCTGGGAAGAAAAGCCTGAAGGAAGGGAGATAAAGGATGAATTTTAAGGGCCAAATCAAGTCTGATGCGATCTAATTAGGGCAGATCCTCATGGGTTGAACATTCTTTTACCAGGACCTCTTGGTATATATACCTTCGCCTGCAGTGCAGTCTTGTATGACAAAATTTCATCTGGTTAAATATTCAAGACGAGGAACTGATTTTGCAGTAAGGTTCAAAATCAGTGTGAATTTGAGCAAAAGTAGTTACTTTTCAAATAGTACAAAATTCCAGAAAAAGGAGGAAATTAGCAAAATTAGTTGACTCACCGACAAGCGATTTGCCGGGACTGGAATTAAACAGGTTTGTTCATTTTTTGCTTGCACATAAGTTATGTATACTTTTGACAGCAACTGTTTCATTATTATCTTTTTTCCGCCAGTACAGTTAACTTGTTCTGTCTTCCCTGAGGATTGCTGCGTTTTGCTTAGTTCCGTCTAGATCCTCCGATCTTATGGGGGCTCCCTTACTGTTCGCTTTACCATCGTCTGGTAGCATAGGAAATGCACTGGAATCTGCAGCATACCTCCTGTGCGTCGTTTTGCAGCTCACTAAGTCACTGCTAACTTTGTCTTTTTAGCAGACGTGATTTTTCGCGCTGAAAGAAGGGCAAAAGAACAAATCAAATAAAAATTTTTTTAACGAAATTAAGTATTCTTTAATGAATGCGCAGCAAATAAAATAATTATGTTTAGCAGTTCGTCAGAATCGGAGGATTCAGATTTAGAAACATCTAGAAGAAATGTTCAATCAACCATTTGGATTGGTAACGAGGACGGCGAGTAAGCATTTCCGAAACTTTTTAAAAATTTGAATGGAAAATAGTGAACGATCAGCTGATTCCTTGCATTCAGAATTAGACCGTGCTGGCAGGTACAGTAAGATAGAAAAGATAGCTTTCCTGCTTCCTTAATCAGTCGTTAAAAGGATCGCTGAGGGTTATTTGCGGTTGACTCGCAGAAAGAATTTATATAATTTTATATAATCTCTTCCATAAATTTATATAATTTAAAATTATGGCTAACTGCTTAGGGACAGCGCTCTGGCAAGTATTGGAACTAGTAATTGAGGTCAATTTGTTTAAGTGATGACGGACAATCACGGTGATAACAACATAAGTTGTTTCAGGATATTTATGTTCAATTTCTTGGACAATGCGCGTTTGAAAGCATGCGAAAGGTTGCTGCGGCTCTCCATGCCAGTGGATGATATTGCTTATTTGGATGAAAAAGTTTTTGTTTCAATCTCATCGAGTTCACACATTCAACTTTTGTATTTTCTCAGGAATAAAGGTTATTTCTAATTATGCTTTACGATGCTTTCTTGGATCTGATTATTCTCTGTTCATTTTACTATACGGTTTTATACGTATTTGTTATGCTTTTTTTTTGCAGCTATGCAATGCAAAAACGCATATTGTCGAGGGGTTGTCTTTGTGTGTGTGTGTGTCTTTGTCTGTATGAATGTATGTGTGTGTGTGTGTCTGTGTGTTCGTCTGTAGCGAGTTTTCATCTCGAGATCCACAAAAGCTATAAGGCTGGAAATTTGGTGACTTAATCTACACACACGTGCGGATTCAAATCCTCAAAATAGACGCTCAGATCCGCGTGGTTCTCACGTAGGGGCGCGTGAAAGTTTTTTTGGCGGGAAAGCGTTTTCGGGAACGGCCCATGCTAGGAGGCTGAAACTTCACAGAGATGTTCCTTGGCAGCGTCTAATCCAAAGATTTTAAATTCGGTCTTCACGCACCTCCAGGTCTCACGTACACACACGTCAAAGTTTAAATTGGCATCATGCCAATTCCAGATTTAAGCTGACCGGTAAGCTGCAGGGAACTGCAATTCTTCAGCGTTACTTGTCGCCTACTGTTGTGACCGTGTAAGTAAATTACTTGTCAGCTGTTCTGCATCTCACCTACGAACACATGAAAATTTCACGCACGCGCCTTTGTAACTTCAAAATAGAACCAGCCAGAAGACCTGGACTTTCTGAGCATAGCCGGCGGTGACCTTTGACCAAGTGCAAGCAAAAACGACTTACACATAACTTTCACGTGTCATGTACGTTTCACGCATACACACGTGAAATTTGACGTAACCCTGCAACCAGGGCAGCTGGAGTGCTGAAACTTTTTAAGCTTTACCTAGGACTGTTTTTGAGTAACCGCAGATGGAGAAAGCATTCACGTTGTCAATCACGTACGAACACGTGAAATTTGACGTAACTCCGCAACCAGAGCAGCTGGAGTGCCGAAATTTTCTGAGTGGTACCCATGACCGTGTTTGAGCAACCGCGAGCGATGAAAGCATTCACGTTGCCATTCACGTGCGAGCACGAGAAGTTTGACGTAACTCTGCAACCAGGGCAGCTAGAGTGCTGAAACCTTCCGGGCGTTATCCAGGACCGTCTTGGAGCAACTGCGGGCGATGAAGGCATTCACGTAGCCGTTCACGTGCGAACACGTGAAATCTGACGTAACTCTGCAACCGAAGCATCCAGAGCGCTGGATCTTCTGGGCATGGATTGGGAATCATTGTAATAATTTCTAACAGTCGTGGTGGCCAGTCCCAAGAGAAGCATTTGCCAGGAAGAACGTGCCTCTGGCGAAAAAAAAAACCTGCGGAGGAACTGTGCAAAAAACGCATCCTCGTACCGGCAACTGGTACGTTTTCTACTAAGTATATTTATGCAAAAAGCGCATATTGGTGAGGGATTGTCGCTATGTACGTGTGTATTCGCGCTTCTCTCATCCGCACAACGCAATAACTAGTGGAACTGAGAAGCTGAAATTTCTGGACCATGTTCTCACCTCACGTGCGATGCTCCGTCTTACGTTTTTGCATGTTTATGCGAGTGCTAAGACGCATATTGTGACGACCCATAGTGTATATGCATGTTTGTATTTGCATGTGGTGTGCTTGTGCGTCTATCCCGGTATTTCAACTCAGCAACCAAATAAGTTTAGTGCTGAAATTTTGCCAGTGGTTCCTTATCTGGACTATTGCAGGAGCATAGTAGTAAATTTTACGTACATCTGAGTCCGTGTATGGGCACTTAAAATTTTTGACGAAAAATTGCTAACTCTGGAACCAAAACAGCTAGTTCATTTCAGTGGATGAACGGTGACTTTTTTCGTGCAAATTTACATTTACAGCAGCAAGACACGAGTTAGATGTAGAGCAGCGATCATATAGTTAGCGGCTTGATTCCTTCAGACTCAGTGTAAAAACTCATGATGGCGTCGGCAAATTTCGATTATTTATCATTTCCAGTTTTTTGGAAGCAGTCCAGTAAAACCACTAATTTGGGTATCGATAACCTGGGCGGCTGCAGTGTTTTTTTCGTTTTAATAATATTTTTATTTCATAAGAGAATTCACAACGATCATTTATTTTTTCTAAATCGGCATCATTTCAGTGAAATAAAGCAAATTGGAAAATGCTGAAATGCATTTTTGATATAAGTTTCAATAGCCATAACTAAGAAATTTTTTCTAATTTCTTTCAGTTGCTGCATCCACGATTAACCCTGTTTCTAGGACAGCGTAGTTTAAGCAGAATGATGAAGTACTGTCTCTTTGTATTCGTGGCGTTCGTTTCAAAAATACATTTCAGTTTTAAAATCACTTTCATAATATACAGGATCACTAGCCGTTTTCAAAAATTGCTGGAAATATGGTTTTATAATATAGGTTCAAATTCAGTACTTAAATAGATGAAATTTGTTCCAGAAGGCGTATGGGATTTGGACAACCCAAAAACAGTATGTCTAGATTTTCGAACGCGTTTGAGGCCCATGACCGCCGCTGTATCTCGACTCTGTTTCGCATCTGGCAATTCCCTTTATCTTTTCAATGCATACAGTTTGCAAATTGAGGTGAGGATTCAGTATCGGCGACTGTAAGTTTTTTACGAATGAGTAAAATGTCTTTGCATCTCACCGCATTGGTATCAATTTGATTAACTGTTTTGAAAGTAGTTTTTGCTGGCTATTCTGCTATCACTAGTTTTTTAGCTAATTGGATATCTGTTATTTGAAGCCCTTGTACCTGTTGGTCTATAACGTGATCAAATCATATGCCAATAATAAAATCGCATAGCTGCGTGTTGTAGCGATATATACTTGGCAGGCAAACTCAGAAAAAAATTTTCTAAACAGCTTTTCAAAATTTCTGCTGCAGTCTTCATATTTTCCAAGATGTAGCGTGCGTAAAATTCCCTATTTAGTCGGAATGGAAAGTGATAAGGGAGCGTTCTCCCCTTGTCCATAGGAATATAACTGAATCATCAAAAGCAAAAGACAAATACTTTTCGAAGGAAATCCTTATTTGGCAGCACCGTACAGCATCATTACCCTAAGAATAATCAATTCAAAGATGGCTTCACCACTGCGGTAGTCTTTACTGTTGGTGACGGGTACTGACAATTGCACTTATCAATCCAGAAACAATCGATGCTGAGTTCGAATACTGCGGAAATGGTGGCGTGCTTGGCCGTCATTGGTTCCACTATTTTTGTGGCCATGGCTAAATCATCTACTATCAAAGTAATCAATGCATTCACGCTGGAATGCCTGTTGGAATTTAACATTTCGCATATCGTCAGCAAGGCGCTGTCCAGTAAGTTAAGTTTCTTCTGCCTTCCCCCTTTGCTGCTTCCGCTGCCATACCCTTTGTCTCTGTTCTCTCATCCGGGTTATCTTACAATTACCTTTAAGATATTAGCAATCTAAATCGATTAAAAGCTGCTTCGGGTCTGTTTTATCTTGGTTTGTGAAGGCCTATGTGTGAAGCACGGAATACTTATGGTTTCATCATCCTTGACTGATACGTTACAACCATCATACAAAAAAGTTTTATAATCAAATTTTTCTGCAATTCACAGGCCGGGAAGAAATTATCCGGAAGCACAAAATGGGCTGCTTGAGAATAACATCACTACTATGTTGTAAAAAACGCCTGTGGATTGGAACTTCAGCTGGTATCATCATCAATACGGCCATTTCAAATACAAGAACATTGAACTGGACACCATCCTTTAATGGTTTGCTATGGGATAATGAAAATGATTTAATAAATGATATAGCTTGACAGTGCTGTTTTTTACTACGATTACTTACACTTACCAAGTGGGTTTCTGCACTAAGAAGTAATAGTAGATCAAGGTTCGACTCTGCCGGTTTGACAAGCATTCTCTTCACGATTCGTAGTTTTTTCGATAATAAATTGGTA